GATCCGTTTGTCGCCTGTTCTCACTATCATATTCTCGCAATGTGTGTGTCACGCTTATTGGCAAACACCAAAGCTGGTCCAACATATATATACTACAAATATATCCTCCTGTAATTACAACGACATTTTGATGCGAATCTTTTTGCCCAGTTTAAAATTATGAAATTCATAGTGAACTGAAAGGAAAATTTTTTATTTGATAAAAACTTGGTAAACATGCATAACTTATCGAAAGGAGCAAAGATCATTTACCATTTTAACTGAAACTAACCGGCTATTATTACTGAAGTGCTGTTGCCAGAAAAAAAAATTAAGCAGAAAAGTTTAATTGGTTTAACGACTTCTTAATAATAGGCAGATTAAGATTCCCGTTTTTATCTTCCCGCAAACGGCAAACGTGACCACGTTTCATCGTTTCCCTACATTTCACTTTACCGTTTGCAAACCTTCTCGACAAAGACAAGTATTCTTTTGTTTATCTACTACTTGGAGATTTTTGCGATTCCTTTTCTCTAATTTTAAAGAATTTTCTAATGGTCAACTGACTTTTCGCGTTTGCCGTAAACGAGATCTTAAACTTTCTAATAATAACTTAGATCATCACAGGAAAAGTCGCTAACCTTTCTTCAAATTCATTTTTTAATAGAATGCTGAAATATCGATATAAAAATTATTCATATTGAAAATTGGAGCTGTGACCTATTTGTTGTTCATGAAAAAACACGTTGCAAATGAAAGCGAGATTGAATTTCCGCGAATTTTTTTTTTTAATTTTATCAGCTTAAATAACCTGAGACTTTATCGCTATCCAAAACAAAATGTACTGCAATAAATTCATTCAGCTAGTTAACAAATTAGCGAATTAATCTTTACCTTTTACAGTGATTGTGTAGTGTGCAGGTAGTGCTGACTTGGTTTCTATCAGTATGTTTTGTTTGTAGAGAAAGTCGAAAAGGACATATCCAGATTCACACTCTTGCATTCCGGGAACTTCGCCATTCGTGAGTTGTCCAAGAAGAACCTGTATTTTCCTTACAATAACAACTTCTTCGATAGTCTTACTGATTTCCTCTTTTGTTTTCTTGTACGTGTCCTTCAGGTCCAACAGATTGCTGTGTAGTTTTTTGGACAGGAAGTCAATATTGGACTTTGCTTTGTGAGCTTCCTCGTGAGCGGACAACATGACTACATGTTGTAGAACCAGAGAAATTGTGAGAAACACAACGAATACCTTCTTGATAGTCATGACTGGAGTCGTGGGGAACTTGTAATAGAAAATAGAAAACCGGCTGATAGCAACCAGAGTTCCAAATACATTAGCTAGCTAGGCAATACGTCACTTTATAATGGAAACTTATCTCGCATTTGATTGGCTGACAGGATTAATCAGCCAATCCTCAATAATATCTGAACTTCATACCTCAAGGCATCGCCAATACCTTAAAAAACATCAATAAAAACATCATACGAACTAAAATCCGAGTTATAATAATAATAATAATAATAATAATAATAATAGTTAATAATATTAATAATAATACAAATACGATAGATGGGAGGCAGGGGAGAGGGGAGGAAACAAAGAAGCAAGGTCGTAGTAGGACGATGGATGATCTACTGATTGATAGGATCAGTAGCTCTGAACTGCCAAAGAGGGAAACGAAATCTAAGCATGGAGTGGGTAGACGTGACGAAGAAGGCCTATGATTCGGTGAATCATAATTGGCTGATTGAAACTATGGTGTGATAAGGAACTTGTGCTCCAGCACTGGAACGGCACAAAACTGGAACTCTACTCAAGGCTGTTCACTTTATGCCTAAACCCGATAGTTTGGAAGCGGATCCTTGGAAGCTTAGAACAAAAGAGGGATATATAGATAAGCTATCTAAGCCCATCAGCAGCAAAATAGCTATTACGGGGTGATTTGCTGGTAGACTCTTTATTGGAAGTCCAAGCAATTTATACAACTGCAAGTTTACTACGGACTCAACTCAACTGAACTCAACTCTATCAACTGATTGAATCATGTCAATGAATCTCTCTTATAGAGATTTGTACGATAATCAAATAATAATCAAATAATCAAGCTGTCATCATTGTACGATGTTAACTAAGAAGTTTCTGGAGGCGTTGCCTCTTAATTAAAGTGGGAAAACTCTGAATATTTAAGTTGCAACCGAATGACTCAAAAATCAAGTTTTGGACGATTAGAATACAATTTACAAGGAAGCGTTTGGTCATATATAGAAAGGTCAACAACGGTTTAAACGGTTTTAGGTAACAGTTTAAGCATCGGATTAACTTAATAAACATTAGAGGGCAAGGAGTCATATACGTTATAGGACAGGTCTAAGCCTGACCGAGAGGTTGCAGAAGATTGCGGTCAAATTTAGCTTGTCCGTGCCACTCGTGAGGGGTATGTGACTATATACGTTATGACTTGCCTTCAAGACCAATCCGGGCTTGTAACTCGTATTTAAAACATGTGTGACATTTGTCAATGATTATATGAAATAAAATACTTTTTGGAGTTAAAATGTTACTTTGATYATTGTCTCATAACATAACAAACCTGCTGTACATAGACGACTTGAATGCTTCGCGTCAGAAGACAAGCTAAAGAGAGTGATAAGCGAAACGACAATAGCTTTTGAAAAAAGTAAAAAATAAAAAATCGGAGATTTTAAAAGAAAAACTACCTGACATGACTTCCACAAAACTTCAGATCAAACAACCAAATTCCCTTTGACAAGGAACTCAAAATGTAAAAGAGAAAAAAAAGAAAACAACAGAGTTCAGAGTTGAATAACAATAAATTTTACCGATCCAAGTACTAACCTCACTCAAACGTGCTTGACTCAGTGCCTTGGAAGCCCAAGTTTTTTTCCACTGGGCCACGATTTCAGGAATTAAGCACGACAATAGCCATGACAACAATGCAATAGATAGACCAGCTGAAGCTCTCCCCTTCAGCTGAAAAAAAGGATGCTTTTTTATATTGTTTTCCGTTGTGTTGACGGAAGAAAATCAATTAGCCCCCCCTAAACTCAGTTAGCCCCCCCTTAAAATTTTGGCTGGATCCGCCCTTGAGTCTCTCCCCTGATGCTTCGGCTAGAACACAATCCTGCGTAATCCGTACACCCAAGGGCAGAGGGACTTAATTGCCGTCATGTCCGAAGTCCATACGACCGACCCAGCGGATGTCTCGGGGTATGGCATGAAGGCAGTAGTTTTTTTCCTTCTGTATTTTGGAATTAATAATTTTATGTTTATCTACTTACGACAAATTAACAAAACTTATCAAAGCTGCATTATCCGCGCTATGTTTACTGGGCAGAGACGAATAAAACAATCCAAAGGTTGGTGTAAAATGGCTGTAGGGTCAAACCTACAGCCGAGCTTTAATAATGGAAAATATGCAAAATTACTAGGGATCGATAAAACCCTGATAACAGTACTTCGAGTAATGCCCAGTGAAGGTGAGGGCAAATAAAACGCCTCCATTATTACTCTCCTCATGAAAAATATAAATGGACAGGTGATCGGGGAGGCGGAGGGAAAGCAGAAGTGAGTTCACGCTTGGTGAAAGTTGGCGAAGAATGACGCATGCAAGATGCTAGGTTGCTATGGGAATGTCAGGTCAAACATTCCCATGAGTCCCCAGTCACGTGCCATCTCATGCTTCACTGTATTACATCATCCCGAATTAAAACAGGAAACCCAAAGTCGTGATAAACATAAAATTCTATTTGCTAGCAAATATTCTATATAATTAAAGTTGGTGTGGACGCTGGTTCGATTCCCACCGTATTAACAGTACCTTTTTTATCTAGCTTTAGATCTTTTTATATATTCATTTATTCATTTATAATTTTTATAAAGGACTTTTATAAATTCAAGAAAATGATGATTATAATATTTTTTTTAGAAAGTATGTCCACTTTTTTCGCTTTGTTTACTAAACTTAGTATTATATTTTATGCGTGTATTTTTAGGACAATCATGAAAAACAGAACATTATGCCGACACCATAATGACATTTATGTCGAAACATTATACTAGCACGTCGCGATGCAAGGCCTAGATGTTAGTTAAACTTTGGTCTAAATAAATTTACAGAATGTTTCGCATAAAACAAATTTATTCGTCGTGGGTACACGGGCGAACCGCAACCTAAGACACAGGTACGCCTTTTATAGCATTTGTCACAAACGAGTGGAGAATGGGCACTTTTGGAAGGCAGTAGACGCAGCAAAATATCAGCAGATATTTTTACAATGTTATAAAGAATTGAACGGACGGACCTATGGACCATTAGGGAAGCTAGTGACCTATTCAAGTCATGAAAAATCAACGTCGATGGGTTACCAATTTTTAATGACGTATTCAAGTCATGAAAAATCAAATCCACGAGTTACCAATTTTTCTTAGGGATTTGGAACCTAGAAATAATTTGCATACGAGGCAAGGATCCCTTCAGAGTTATTACGAACAATTGTTTCTTTTTCCGTAGTCTTTGTAAAACTCCGTTTGTATCATTAGTTCGAGGTTAAACAAACTAACATGTACGATTTTTTTACCTGTATTCAATAGAACAATTTGTGAAGTTATCTTTGATTTAGTTGCTTTATTTTTTTCTGTCAAATATTTTGGACCAGAAAGCAGTGAATAATTAGTAAAAGCTCGTTTTTTAGTCCACTTCGATCTTGATTTATATTCTTATGAAATTAAAGCGGTTTAGGCAGACCGTTTATTATCGCTCTGTATAACTGCGCTCGAAAAATGGTCGTAACGGTAAATTGGGTGTGTCGTATAATAATGTCTAAAAATAGCTCACTCCCGAAATGTGCCGCCGTTCTAATACTTCTAGTTATGGTCTTTTGCTTCTGCTACAAATTAATACATTTATCTTGTCAAGCTCAAATACTATTGATTGGGTGATTGCTGTCAGCCAATCAGTTGCGAATGTGTTTCCATAGATAGATTTATAAGGTGACATACCTAGCTTGCATCAAAACAGGAGTTTGAACTCTGATTGATAGTCAGTTCTTAGTTTTCAACTGCAAGATCCCTAAGATTACCGAAGACGATATGAAGAAGGTATTCGCTGTGTTTCTCACAATTTCTCTGGTTCTACAACATGTAGTCATGTTGTCCGCTCACGTGGAAGCTCACAAAGCAAAGTCCAATATTGACTTCCTGTCCAAAAAACTACACAGCAATCTGTTGGACCTGGAAGACACGTACAAGAAAACAAAAGAGGAAATCAGTAAGACTATCGAAGAAGTTGTCATTGTAAGGAAAATACAGGTTCTTCTTGGACAACTCACGAATGGCGAAGTTCCCGGAATGCAAGAGTGTGAATCTGGATATGTCCTTCTAGACTTCCTCTACAAACAAAACATACTGATAGAAACCAAGTCAGCACTACCTGCACACTACACAATCACCGTTAAAGGTACATAAATAATTCATTAATCCAGTTTATAAATATGATAATAAAGGATTTTGTTTACCGATAAATAGTTAAATATGAAGAAAGATCAAGTTTCAAGAAATGAGGGCGATATCCTTTGTTGTTTACTTCTGCAGCCAAAAGGAATTTTGACGAAAGAAAACGCCCTTTATACTTATTGTTCTTTAAAAACCAACGAAACATTTATTTGTTTTTCTACTCACACGCTCAATAGACTTCAAATGGCAATGTTTAGATCCCTTGACTCTTTTCTAAACCTGATTTTAAATGAACAAATGTTGTTCTAGTACGAGAAAGTAACACCGACGATCTCAACCTCTTCAAATGTACAACTCCTTGTGGAGAGTGACGACAAATTTGTGACCTCGAGAACTTTAAAGCGATATCTTTTACGAACAGGCTCAAGAACATGAACTTTTCTGTTCTATATCACCAATGCATTCCAAGGTTTTTATCTCGAGACCAATTGGCTCAAGATCTTCTGATAACTGAATTCTTATCAGCCCCTCTCAAAAAAGACTGTTAAGGAACTTAGTCCACACATGTTTTGCATCGCATTATAGATAGACCTTTTATTATAGATAAGGTTGACTTTTATTCATCTTATATTATTCTATTTATATACATTTTTACTTATTTATAGTCAACCATAAAGCCTTGGTAGATCAGAAGAAAGCTGCAAAGAACGGCGAGGATCTTCGCGTGTTTTACCATCCTGACAAAGGTTCCTTGCCTGTCGAGATTAATCGACTGTTCCACAATTTGTACACTGATGCAACCACCGTGACGTTCAGAATCCAGAAGATGATTTCCGCCAATACTGTTGATCTCAAGTCGTACGCGCTTGTTTTTGGCGGGAAATTCCAAGGAAAAGCCAAAGCCAAAGCCAATCCGAGGAAAGTGTTTGCCTTTTATGAGGATTTTTCCCGTTCATCACTGGAGGGATGGAATAGAGTGTGGGGGGAATGGACTGTCAAGAACGAAAGCTTGTTTGGCAAAACTGGAAGTTCTCCTTATGGCAATGGTGAAGTAGGACTGTACTTGACTCAGGGAAAGGAATGGAGCGACATTGAAGTCGAACTTGATCTCATGGAAACCGGTTCCAATGTTGTCTATCCTGGTCCATTCCTTCGAGTCCAAGATCCCAGACTGCAACACACAACAGCTTGGTGGTTCGAGTATTACACAGACAACAAAAACTGCACCATAAGACCATGTAAAAACAACGTCTATGGTGGCGGGATACATACTTGCCAGCTTCCAGAAAAACTGGTCAAAAACAAGTGGTTTCACTTTAAGTATCGCTTGCAGGGCGAAAAAATATCGCAATGGGCTGACGGAATACCAATACAAGACGCTACTGTTGAACCCAAGTGGATGATCCCGAAGGGAACAATCGGTCTAGGTTGCCATTCAATATACAGTGGAAGTCCAACTGGATGCAGGACTTACTATGACAATATCAAAGTCAAGTTGCTTGTGTCTTCCAATCCTAAAGTGTCCCCTGGTGACGTCTGCCACTTCGTACATCGCAAAGTTTTTAATCTCGGAAAGAAAGAACGACCAGGGAATTCCTGCAAACACATATATGACGCAAACCTCCATGGAAAAAAGAAGTCATCATCGAAGAATGGGGTGTACTGGATCAAAACAGCACTCCAAGGACACAATAGACAAACCTTTTGTGACATGAATAAAGGTGGATGGACTCTGGTTGGAAAGATCAGCGGTCGTGTGGGCAATATTTACAATTCGTGGCTTGTACAAAATGTCAACACAGATCTCCTGAAATCCCCCAGGATGTCATCAGGGAAAGTAGAATATGGCTGTCTGGACGCACGCCTTATTGCTGTCAGACATTCTACTGAAATCATGTTCTCCAGCGGGGAGAATCCTTCTGGAGTAGGAAAGAAATGGGTTCGATGGCAGTTACCACAGGGTAGAGAATATAGTACCTGGTGGAATCATGGTGTTGGATACAAAAGAGCAAATGCTGCCGTAGAAAGCCCCGTAACTGTCCAAGCATGGAACGGGGGCTCCAAGGTAAGAAATTGCAATGTGCAGAACGATAAAACTGTCCTCTATCAATACTTATTTCAAGCAATCTTGATCAAAAAAAAATATATGCGAATATTTATATCAAACCTCTCAATAGTAAGTAGAGAGAAGCAAGCACCGTTTCAGTGTTGTCCATGTACTAATTTGTCATTTAATACTTCTCGATGATATCTAGATGATTTTTCTATTATTTGTTGAAGGTTTGCCATCAAAACAAGTATGGACTAATGCCACATCCGCTTGTGGGAGGCTCATATCCCTATGCATCGTACAACAAGCACGGAAACACCGATACAAACGACTACTGTATGGCTGTAGGAGTCATGCTCAAAGGATCGACTGCAAATGGGTGGGGCCACAATGGTAACGGGTATGACTCTCCTCAGAGTGATTCTGATTGGCCAAACACGATCTACAATCATCAGCAGCCATACTTGCTTGTATGGCTTAAGTGAAGATGCGCAGTTAAACCACATGTCATTCAAACAGCAATATGATATAGATGATAGGGATGATTAGAATATGATAAGCAATACAGATAATGTAAATTTAAGATAAACAAATCAAACAAAAATTAAATAAATAACATGAATAATGGTAATCAGAATGATAATAATGATAGCAATAAAAGGTAAAACAAGGTCATGGGTAAACGTATTAAAAGATAATATGCAACTTATTAAAAAGATGAATTTCAAATGATTGTTGGTGTTATTTTCAAGCATCATTACTTTTGAGACAATATACGGATGGGTATATATAGGAATATATAATATACAATCCTGCAGGTAAGTCCCTAAATTATGAACATTTTCGAGATGCAAATATTCCGGAGTTTCTGATTTGAAGTTTAAATCGAGCACGGATTGGATCTCATTTCGATGCATGAGTTTTTGACTATTGATTTCATACAGTTTCCCTTATTGAATTTTGTTTCATTAATCTACCTCCATAGCATGCGGTCGTTGACTGCACATCAGTTATAGTGACTCAAGTCGACACGATTTAGAAATAAGATGCGTAGGTATTCAGTATTCAACAAAGAATCCCATCTCTCAAGAGCGTACTTATCATGGAATCGCATGAAAAAAGGATCACGAAACACACGTTAAATTTTGGATTAAATCTTCATTTTTGTTTATTCCCCTCCCCCCCCCCTCCC